TTTCTTGGAGGCTGTTGACTGTTTGTCAGAAAGAGATTTTCATTTTTAACGTTTGCTTGATATAATGAAAAGAGAGATTGATTTATTTCGTTAACTGTAAGAAATTTTTAATAATTTATATTTGTTTTTGGTACGATTGGAATTATTTTTAGTTTTGTTTTTATTTAATTATCCAGCTGTAACTTTGTTTTTCAATGATGATCGTAATGTTTAAATAACAATTTTATTTTATAAAGTCACTAAAATTTGAATTTCTTTGCTTGTGCAATTATATGGATTATATGAACATCGCTTATATTAAATTATATCAAATGTATTACGAGGTTCTTTCATCATTATAAATATGCAAAGATTTATTCTAAAATTGTGAAAGATACAAACTCGAAGATATATTGAATGTTAACAAATTTTTCTTTACACAATTAACTGTTAACGCAACAACTATTACATGCATTCGATAAGCACACGGAAGAAGATAACAGAAATGATCTCGTGACATGAAAATGTTACGCATAATGTTAAATGAAATCTAAACTTTGTTTTAACCTTCGCAGAAAGTGCGCTGTTTTCGAACGCTGATTACTGCCACGTGTTTCAAGTAATTCGCATTCGTGTATGAAATGAAACATCGCATAATGATGAAACGTAATTTGAGTTGCTAAAAAAATGGAAGAAGACGAAGTAATTAAAAAAAGGAACAGTAATCACCAAGATGCAATCTGGTCCATTTTTGGAGAAAAGTTTTTCAAGAAAAGTACAATTTTTACCTTTACGAATTGTTTCGATCGGAATTGTCTTTAGGAATTTTTTCGATCGGAATTTTTATCTTTACGAACTTTTTCGATTGGAATTTTTATTTTTACGAATTTTTTTCGATCGGAATTTTTACCTTTACGAATTTTTTCGATCGGAATCCTTACCTTTACGAATTTTTTCGATCGGAATTTTTACCTTTACGAATTTTTTCGATCGGAATTTTTATTTTTACCAATTTTTAATTTTACGCATTTTTCGGATCGGTATCTTTACTTTTACGAATTTTTTCGATCGGAATTTTTACCTTTACGAATTTTTTCGATCGGAATTTTTACCTTTACCAATTTTTAATTTTACGCATTTTTCGGATCGGTATCTTTACTTTTACGAATTTTTTTCGATCGGAATCCTTACCTTTACGAATTTTTTCGATCGGAATTTTTACCTTTACGAATTTTTTCGATCGGAACATTTATTTAAAGTTTTACCAAGAATTCCGCAGTATGTAATGACGTAATGTTCAGTTAGATCGAGTCTCGCACTTTCGGAATTTCCTATTTACGAACGATCGCCAGAATTGGCGGAACCAATTAATTCGTAAAGGCGGGACTACGTGTGTGCATACTTATCGAATGATTCATTTCTACGTATTTCACCGAAGCTCGACGATGCACGTTAAACAAAATCAAGACAGAAAAAAAAAAAACAGAAGTTCGGTTCGTGCGTTTTATTCTTTCAGTTGGCACGTCGAAAATATCAAATCGAAAATACGTTGATTCGTACTGTCTACACTTTTTGGTTAGGTGACTTTTTTCCAGAATGAACGATAAAACACGTAATATCCACAGGGTGTGCGCCGATTCCACGGTAGGCAATTTACTGAACGATAAAATAAGAGCTCCATTGTTCGAGATAGAAAAATCGGAACAAAAACTTCTGGCTTGCACCGCGTTCTACTTTGGCCGCGTGTTACCGCACGTGAGATTGTGTATCGCGTTGTTTGGGAACGAACCTTAAGTTAAAAGAACGTACAGTATAACACGGATAATGTATCGTGTTACACAGTATATTTGTATGAAAATTTTTTTTAGCTTGTAACAACTTAAAAAAAAATCGTTTCTTTTTTTTTAATCAATTTTGCGATAAATCAAATAGATGTCATATCTTTCGGCGGGAATTTGAAATTTGTAAATGTTTTTGAAATGGATTATTTTAATTTTGATTGGTAAGAGTACACTTCGAAGTGATAATCATGAATTTTTATGAAACTTTGGTATATAGTAGTTCTCGAAAAAATATTCGACACGTATTTTTTTATATCGGCAATTGTTCACTGTGAAGGGACGAAAATCGCCCTCAAATTTGAAGGCAGTAAATACATTTAATCTAATATCTCGAAAATTCTCAGAGATAGAGCAAACGGTGTAATATAATTGCTTCCTTAAAGTTGTGTAGGGTTTTAAATGAATAAATGGGTTTTTACACAGCGTTTAAAAAGTAATAATATGTATACATATATACAGGGTGTCCCAGTTATTTTCGATCAAACTTTGTCAATATGTTCTATGGGTATAAGTAAGAAAAAAATGTTATATGAACATAAGTCGTTTGAAGCTTCGTTAAAAAGTTATAGCGATCAAACGATATACGAAGGAAATGGTATTTCGTATTATTGTTATAACTTTTTGATAAAGCTTCAAACGACCTATGTTTATGTAACATTTTTGTTTCTTACTTACGCCCATAGAACATACTGGCAAAGTTTGATCGGAAAAAACATAGGACACCCGGTATGTAAGAAAAGCATGCCATTATTTTTATTCAAATCACGTCTGGTACAGTTTTTGAAAGATTACTACAAACTGGTGAAACCATACATAGACGATGATATCTCCAGGAAACTTGAAAGCTTCCCCAGTGTGGCGGAATTAACAACTTTGGCCGAACAGGAATTTATTAAATATTACGGGTTATTTCCTACCTGCGCGGTATTCGCGCCAGGATGTCTAACTATAGCCGGCAAGAACACTGATCTCGCGGAAAGTAAATCATTGTCCATGGTAGGTGGAAATTCAAGTGCTTCCGTGACAGTTCATTGTGAACTCTGGTTCTCACTTACACGATTGTTGAATACGCATTTTCCTACGATCTTGGTGTACAGAAAAAGCAACGCAAGCGTGCTTCGACACACACACACACACACAAAGTAGACATTTGTCTTCGTTTATCTTTGTTTGAAATAAAACAGGCCATTCAACTTGTCACGTTGGTAGTTGGTAAGCGCAGTCACGGCAGCAAATGGTGTCAGGTTAAAACGCTCTCGGACGAAATTGCCGGTGAAAAGGCGTTCGAGTTAAGTTTGAAAGATGAAAATCTCCGCGTATCCACGGAAGAAACTTCATGGATACGCTACTTAAAAGGAACGATACGAAGTTTCAAGGACAAAGGAGGTATCAACCGTTCATTCTCCGACCGTTCGATTCACGCGAGCCTTTTCCTACACTTTCATCCTCTCAAATAGACTGTTCAAACCAGTCACATTCCGACAAAGATTTTATAACAAATTCTCATGCTTTAAAGAATAAAACGAGAAAACGTTCGATAATTTACATCCGTTTCTCGTTTGAGAAGAGAAAGTTACTTGTGTATTTCCCGAATTCTAATTAAACTCTCTTTCAACGTCTAATTAATTATTAGTTCAGTTGACAAGTTCAAATAATATTGCATCAAACGAAAATAAACCGACCGAACGTCTAATACACAATACTAAGCGCCTACGATTAACCTAACGGCAAATCGTAGGCCCTATTTCGGCACGAGGAAAAATAAAAACGCGTACGCGAGCCGTATGTTTGTTGAATGCGATCGATATTCTTAACAGCACACGTTCCTGGATTTCAAATCGTAATTGCCTCCAGCCTGCCGGTAAAATGCGGCCTCGGGAGTAGCTCCGCCCTGGTCGTTGCGCTCTACACATTTCTCGAAGCAATTACGAATACGTATACCAGAAACGTTATGGAGAAAACGTTAGCATGCCATTTCGCGGAGAAAATAGCGGCAGCCTCCTGTAGAGTTCGTATCACGGATGTTCTCACTTCCGTTCTTGGGAAAGTAGACAAGATTTCCGTGCTCGATACACGATCCCTTCATATCGATCGATGCGATTGGAATGCAATCGACGTAGAATTGATTCTTATCGAATTAGCTAACCTCGAAAAAAGTAATTCACCGGAAAGTAGCACGAATGAAATATGTTACAAGGAAGCGATGATCGTCACGAACACGACATCTCGGTGGCGTACACATCCGCTTGGTGTGTCGATGATGGAATATTTATTTTCGCAAAAACCGATGCAAATCAACAGAAATGTAATCGACCAGGACGAAAGAATAGGGAAAATGAAAGACGCCATTCGAAGAGAACAATGGAAGGAGTGGGGTAGGATATAAATGAATAGTGCGAAGTATCGTATAGCTTTATCAACAACTTGATATTTTGTTTTTCATTGCGTAGTATTAATATCGTATAATTGATATAAGCAAGTATCTTACATAGCTTGTTAAAGTATTACATGAAACGCAAATACAATATATTATTTAGGCTGTATCTTCTCTTATAATAATAGGTCGCATTTTCGATTTCCATTAATATGTTTCGAATGTTAATTAATTTAAGTACCGCACGATCCCTTGAAAGCATTTCAGCTTTTCGCGTTTCTATCCCAATTTCTTGTTAATGTTTATAAATGCACATTATAGGAAAGCTCTTGTGGGAAAATCATCATTCTGCGTGTGAAACCTTGAGTTTCTTACCGGATAATATTGAACGTATTATGAACATGTTGAAAAATATCGAGGGAGTTTTAGGAGCCAGTGTTACCGGTTATGGTGCATCCATAATCACATTGGTAATTCAATTACTTTTCCTTCAATTAAAACAAAACATTTACTTGGGGGAAAAAAGAAACATACTGTACTTTTTTTAAACTTACTATAATGCAACACAAAGAATGTAAACAAAAATACATGTTATTATGATTATTACGTAAGATATTGCTCGAAATGTTACAGTTCTTTCACTTGTTTCAAACTTCGTTAATTACATAGCAACATTTTCCAACAGGTACAAAGATCGACACTGAAAAATTTCTTCTCCTTTTTGAATAGCACGAAGATTTCCCAACAACGATGTTACATAATGAAGTCATGCAAGGGAGCATCTACACTTTACACATATGAACGACACTTAAACCCTTGGACTATAAAACATCTTTCTCACCCGAAATTAATAATTAAATATCACCTTCGCGATAAAGGCGACAATGTCAAAAAAGATTATTATAACAAAGCTGGCAAATGGAGCGCCGCAATATCGTTATACACACCACGCAAATCGATGGATTTATAATTGAACTTTTATAATTGAATTTTTTTTATGCTTTTAGATGTATGTTTTTACTATGAATATACACATAGGAACTTTTACGTCTGTGTGCATTTCATTAATCTTATAGTAATTCAACCATTGTTCTTGCAACAGTTGATAAACGAGTACAATAAAAGAAAAGTGGATAAAGTGTCTTACGAAATAATTTTCGTTTGGGCGGAAAATAATACGTAGATTATCATGTTGCAGAATTGATCTTTTTAATGGAATGTGTATTTGATTGGTCGTCAACTTTTGTGTGCGCAAGTTACGCATGCGCATAGTAA